TTTCCACTATATATATATATGAACGTGTTTCGCGTTATCTTCGTTGTTACAAAGAGTTCGCATACGTAGAGACTAGCAATCTCCTTCTTCTTCTATCTTTGAAGAATGCAGCGCGAAGGCCTTTTGAGAGACCCGAATTGTGGCTGCAGTAGTACAGATTGTCATTTGCTGCTCACCAACCCGCACTCGTTCATTGGTCGCCGACGATTCGAGTAGGTCGGCGATCGGCAAAACCGCATCACGTTGCCCTTTGGCGCCAAAGCAAAGATCATCCATCATATCTCGTCTTCAAACGTGGCAGTCTCTCAAGGGACTCAAACAATCTTTTGTTCCCGTGCTTTCTCTATTCTCTTTCTTTGAAAGCGATAAACATGTGTGTACAAAAGAGAGTCCTAGCAACAAAAGACATACTCGTGTTATTTTCTACTTTTAAAACAGCTTGCTCGGGTTGAGAATGTTGTGCGGGTCGAGCGCGTGCTTGATGGTCTGCATCACATCGACGCTGTCGCCGTGCTCCATGCGGAGGTACTTGATCTTGCCCGACCCGATGCCGTGCTCGCCCGTGCACGTGCCTTCGGCCGCCAGCGCCCGCTCGACCAACCGGTCGCTGAACTCGCGCACCTTGGGTTCGTCTTCGTGCAAGAAGGGCAGCATCACGTGAAAGTTGCCGTCGCCGACGTGGCCAACGATCGTGCCAACAAGCCCCGAGGCCTCCAAGTCGGCCTGCGTGTCGACGATCACCTGCGTGAGGTTGCTCAGCGGCACGCACACGTCGGTCGAGAGCGCGCGACTGCCCGGCACCAAGTTCTATCGCACAATGGATGAGACATACGACATAAACGAATGGCGTGTGTACCATGGTCGCATACCACGCCGAGTGGCGGGCCTTGAGGAGCTCCTTGCGGTCTTCCTCGGACGCGGCCCAGCTCATGCGCTGCACCGAGTAGTCTTCTGCGAGCGCCTGCACCGTGCCCGTATGGTGCTCAATCTCTTCCGGCGTCCCGTTGAGCTCAATCACGAGGCACGGCGACACAATGTTGTTGAGTTTCGAGTACTTGTTGGTGGCCTCGATCGCCTTGTGGTCCATGAGTTCCATGCGCGACACCGGAATGCCCATCTGCATGATGACGGTGCACGTGTCGACTGCGTCCTGGATCGTCGGGAAGCTGCAGACTGCAATCTTCTGCGCTTCGGGCACGCCCTGGAGACGCAGCTCGACTTCGGTCACGACCGCAAGCGTCCCTTCCGAGCCAATCAAGAGGCGCGTGAGGTCATAGCCCGCCGACGATTTGCGCGCCCTAGCGGATCGAACATGAGTATCGATTGATACATTGATACGTTGATCGTTGTACTTGGAACCGGTGCGGATGATGCGACCGTCGGCCATGACCGCCGTGAGCCCGAGGACGTTCGACTTCATGTTGCCGTAGCTAAAAGACACGAGTCAAACGATGCTACTGGGACGAGAGGAAGCGTGCGTACCGAACCGTCGTCGTGCCCGACGCGTTGGTGGCGACCATGCCACCGAGCGTCGCATCGGCACCGGGGTCCACGGGGAAGAAGAGACCCGTCGCGCGGAGCTCCGACTCGAGCTGGAGGCGCGTGACGCCGCACTGGACGCGGCAGCTCATGTTCTCTTGCTCGACCTGACGACATATTCAGCATCAGCATGCGCACGATGATAAAGATGATGTGCGTACCGAGAGAATCGACTTCATGTTGG